CCAAAAGTACCGGTAAAATTACTATAATCTTCAACGATTATACTACATTTGCACTAATTTTAACTCCTATACTTGTATATGAGAGGTTAAATTTATTAAAATTTTACCACTTTATTTCTCTTTCTATAAATTTGCTAAAATATAACATATATATAGCTGTTATTTTGTATATAATTTGGACAGTATGTCATTATTCTTACTTAAATTTTAAACATTTTTCAAAGATTGATGTATAATTCGTGAAATATATATTCTTATACTATATACGAATGAGCTGTGGCCAAAAGGGGTTTGAATTTCAACGATATTGATAGGTTGTTGAGAATGTAGAATGTTGTGTAGTTTTTTTTTAAAAAAAAAACTTTTGGTATAATTGAGGGCAGTGTGTGTTTAGGTATATTTACTGAAATCCCCTCATTTTGGTACATTTAAAGTTTTGATTTATAGAGACATCTGGATATTTCTAGATTATGGAATTATTTTGCAACCGTTTTTGCATCGAGTTCAACTCATATATGCTTATGTGTTGGTATAATTATTGAAATGATGTTAAAAACACATTTAATTGAAATGTGGCTTTTGTTGTGCAATTAATGTAAAGACATATTAATACATTGTGCAATTAACACGTTGCTACAACTATCCGTTGGAGGATATTCCTTTGTCTGAAATAATTTACGTCTGTTCTTAGGCGATTTTCAACTACATCTGTGGGGGTCTTTTAGGAATGATAAGATTGTAAAAGAATTAATAAAACAAAGTATACAAGTGTGTGATGTAATTAGAATGTACTATCATTAGTTTTGTTATATTTGATGACTATTTCTTTCAAAAATATACATATTATTTGTCCAATGAAAAATCCTCTCTAACCACATGCATCAGACACCTGCGCAATGCGCGGGCATTCCCCCTAGTATTGCGTGAAAAGTTTTACTATCACTTGTATAATATTGGTTAGTTGGAAAAGACCAATATTTTTTTTTAAAAAAAATATGAAATACAATTTTTTAAATTATACGTATACATTATACGGATATAATATGAGTATAATAGTATCGACTCACTATCGTTTTCCCTCCTATCACCTATAAACAAAAGAAGGTGACAAAGATGTCTCTGTCTTTTTTTATTAGGAGAAAGGAAGCAGAAGCGTTGGGCTAAGGGGCAGATGAACCATGAACTGAAAGGAGTGTGAAACTGGGGGATTATGGAGTCGCCTTTTCTTCAAATTACTCATGATATATATATATATATTCGAGAGGTTCAGTTCACTCAAGCTTTGAGGGATAAGAACTCTTTTTCAGATGGATGACGTGTGTTTAGGTGAAGAGGTGGTATTCTCAAGAATCTCAATCACAAACGTTGAATTCTTGACATTTCTTGTGAAATTGTACGAAGGATATTGTCTTGTCTTAAAGCTAAGCGTCCATGTCAAAACCAGCTAGCAAGTAAAGAAAAATGAAACTTCTGAATTCCCATCATTTTGAGTTTGCAAACCATTAATTCAAGTTGGATAAGTTTTAAGTAATTGCGAAAGCACAAGAATTCAAAGTAGTCCCACCAGCTTATCCAAAACAAGAATTTAGAAGCAAACCGCAGCCAAAATTAATTAAAACAGAGCCTTGAACAGAAGCAACGTCCACCTTACCAGTATTAATTAAAACATATTGGAAGCTGTAGACAATTCTTGTAGTGATTTGGCCACTTACCAGTATTAATTTGGCCAATTGGTTTGGAACAGAAGTAATCTTGTTGTTGAAGCTGATGTCCACCTCATACCTAGCATCTGTTTATTTTATCTACTCTTTTAAAATAATAGTCATAGTTTGTCTAAAGTAGTCTTAGTCTTCCACTAAGAAGCAGTCCTCCCACTAGACGTCATTTGCGTGGATTAATCAAGCAATAAGCTTCACTAATGCTTACAAGAACAGTTTTCCAATGCATTGAAATTGTTCAAGGTAATGAACAAGTGAAAAATGAGATTAATTTAGAAACAAATCAAGCAAATTAATCCTTCCAAAAACTGAACATGGCCTGAAATCCGCCAACAGGGCCAGTATTCTCAGCGGCAACTGCTTGTTTCACTTTCATAGCAGCAAAACTAAGGTCCCATAATAAATTACGACACTGCATCACATAAACACGTCCAGAATCATTTTTGGCTTTACACAAAGCTTCCAAACGTTTGGTGCTCTTAACCAATCATTTGTTACCTTAGCCACAGTATCTTGCTTCCAAACGTTTGGTGCCCTTAACCAATCATTTGTTACCTCAGCCACAGTATCCTGCTTGTTGATGATGATAAAAAAAAATGGTAATGAAACGAAAATGGACGAAATTATCTTCAACAGTTATCTCGAATCATTGCCGTGTTGGCAATTCCAACCAGTCACATCCAAATTGGACCTATATAATTTGGTAAGCACATCACCTTCTAATCACTTGTCCACCGAAAACCAGCTCTTTAATACCAATTGTCTTTCCAACAAATTTAGGCACGTAAATAGAGCATAGTAATTTCACTGGTCAAATACTACTAGTTACCATGGCTTCTTCAGAGAAAGCAGCACCAGGACCAGAGAAGATTGAAGCAGCAGTCACAGCAACAGAGCCAGAAAAGATTGAACCACCACCACCAGCAAAACCAACCCTGGTGCCGGAAGAGCCGCCGCCGCCGCCGGAGACTAAAGCTGTAGCAACTGAGTCCCCTCCCATCAACTACTTTCCAATAATTGATGTGGTTTTGAGGGTTCTATTGTTTGCTTCAGCAGTGGTATCTGTTATAGTTGCTGTAACTAGTAAGCAAACCGAACTCGTTGCAATACCATTTCCGCCTTTCCGGGCACCCGTTCCAGCTAAATTCAATCATTCACCCGCCCTCATGTAAGTTGCATCTAACCTGTTTTACATATTAGGAAAAAGAATCTTTTTTTTTTTTTTTTCACTTTAAGAAAAATCTTACTTAATTATACTAGTTGGTAATTTTGCATGCAATTCTTCGTCTTTAGCCGAGTAAAATAAAACTTTAAAAAGACGTCACTAGTATGTTATGTTTTTGCGTGTACTCTTTTTTTTTTTCTTTTTGCAGGCTCTTATTTCCCTAGCTTCATTGCTTCGACCTCTATTCATGATTTACCAGTAGTAAAAGTTTTGAGAATATTATAGACTATCCTCCATTCTCATTCTCAAAGATATCTCAAAATGTTCACATTTCAAATGACTTAGGAACAATTACCAGAAATAAATAAAGAATTGTGGGCTTGTACGGAAGGTAAATAAAAGAGTAAAAAAAGCTCAACAAAAACAAATTAGTACAGCTAGATTATTAGAAGATTTGGTCCACTTAATTCCAAAAGCCGAGATTGGCTTGCTTCTGCTTTAGGAGAGATTGGTCTATGCTTCTGCTTTATTAAGAGATATAAAAATTAATTTCACGTTCTAAGCTGAGGATGACGCGTACCAATTAAAGGTTTCTGGGCCGAAATTTTCGTACAGAATTTCTATGTCCTATCTTTTTCACCAACAGGGTGGCTGTAAAAATAATTAAAAAATATGTTTACAAAAATATATATATAAAAAGATGATTCGTAAAAAGGTACTATTGGGCACAAACATTTTAACTTGATTAGGTATATCCATTTAAGTTTAATATCGTACACAAGATTGGTTGCTGATGTTGATGACTGGTAGGTAGGGTTGAAAAGGATGCTTCCTTTGAATCTCATGTGTAAGGAAGCAACTAGGACACCTGAGATTGGATAATTTTTTTTTGCCCTTTTCCATTACTTACGAATGTGTAGTATCCTTTTCTGCCGAGTGCACAGCTGATTGGTAGTATCATGTAGCTCAGCAGCATCAATACTTGACGTATCTATTCTATTGATGGAGTTTCCAGTCGTACTTCTTGTTTGCCCACCAAATCCTTCCGGAGGACAATTTTCTTTTGTGCTTGTAACACTGATCGGCAAACTCAACGAATTGTACATAAATTTTGGGTTGACAAAGGCCGCTGGAAAATTTTACATCAATATATATTTTTTGTTGTTGTGAGAAGCCTTCTTATTTTCTTGGGCAAAGTATTTGACTTTTTATTGTTGTTCTATTGACAATGCATGCAGATACTTTGTAGCAGCACTGTCAGTTGCTGGCCTGTACGGCATCATATCTACGTTGTTGTCTGTTTATGCCCTCTTGAAACCGGATTGGTCAACAAGGCTGTTGTCACATTTGGTGATATTCGACGTGGTAAGCTCCCATGAACTCCTTTCTCCAATTAAGATAGCATGTTTCTTGGTTTCTTTTTCCCCCTTATTAATTAACCTCTTGGCACATGACCATGGTAAAAATGAAGTAAAGAAGCTTCTGAGTTTCAAGAGAAGAAGCATCTTAATAATTATAAGTTAATTATCTTGAAATGGGAAAATTTCTGACATTTGTGCTTCTGGTTCAGCTACTTCTGGGAATCGTAGCTTCTGCAACTGGAGCTGCAGGTGGAGTTGCATATGTAGGACTGAAGGGCAACTCCCATGTTGGCTGGCGAAAAGTGTGCGACACATATGATGTGTTCTGCAAACATCTTGCAAGTTCTTTAGCAATCTCATTGTTCGCTTCAGTTCTGCTGGTATTGCTTGTTTTGCTCTCCATTTACTCATTATCCAAGAAGATCCCTAAGTAGAGTCACTGATCACGACCTGAGAGATATCTGAACCATCTTCAATGTACCCGTGTGTTAGTGAGTACCATTCAGAGTTTGTGTATGCATGGTTGGTGTTGGTGTGCAGCAACATTGGAATTAGAATCTTATCGTAGTGCTTATATGTAAATTTAAAACGCAGTGCAATTGCGAGAATTCATGTTTCAGTTGCAACTACTGCAACACCATTCTGAAAATTCTATGCTGTCTATCATTCCTTAAAGTAAACGCGTATAGCCTCGAACTTCAGGGCAGGCACGTGGTTTCATTACCTGAATTTTAGGAAAATCCAATCGTGTAGCTCTCCAAGTTCCTTTTTCTCTTCGCGTCCAAGAACCATGCAACTGCAGAGCTCTTCGTTTCTTGCCTTCACTGTACATAAACTGCATTCTTCAAGCAAATTACTCGAATAAGTTTGTCGAGCACTCGAATAAGAATAATTCATTTGGGTGTGCTACACCTTCATCTCTTGGTCGCCTGCTGACAGATTTCTTCTTGCTGAAATCCCAGATGTTGGAGTTCTAAGTTCTTCTAGAAACAAGTGATTTGTTGGTAAATTATATCTTTGTGGCCAACAAGCGCAAGAACCTTGTTAAACCTTCTGGTTTCCTGCAGTCTTGCCTCAAGTGAAAGTGATGAAAAAAGAATAAAATCAAAATCGAGCATTTCCTCCAGCTGCTGGGGGTTGAACCAAGGTTTGTTGTTTGCTCTAAAGTTATCACATTCTATAATTAATCTTGTATATTCCTTTTTTTCCATCAAAATCTAATTCCAAGAATTGTTGCAAGAATTGCTCCAACCGAAGTCGAATAGCTATTAATTCTGTTTGAAGTGTATTTGTCATTTTAGGAACCGTGTCAAAAAACAAATCCCCCTTCACATGTCCCAACCAATCTCTGAACAACCTTTCAACGTAACCAATTCTTTTTGCCTTTTCATTTACTCTTTTTGAGCCATTCTGATATTCCACGCCATTTTCTTTCTTTATATCTTCCAATTGATCTTTTTCCGCATCCTTTGCTTGGTCCAAGGATGCATCAACGTCGCATTTCAAACATCCCTCTTCGGGGTGGTGCCACCATAACACTTGTGGTGGTACATTCAAGGGATTGATGTGTATCTTTGTCGGAAGAAAATCCTTTTGTTCTGGTGACAGTACACAGATCATACACCTCGCCATCACATCACATAATTCAACTCTTTCAGCACATGAGATGTTGTTCATCCACTTACACCAGCCATCAGTTAATACAAACCTTTTCTCACGTTCAATTATCACCCTATTGTCATCAGTCACCGTCGGTCTAAGTTTCAAAAGTTAGGGAGCATACTTCATCAAGAGTCTATCTTGCTCCTCGTTTGTTTGTAGAATGCAAATACAAATTAAACAAATGATCTAACAAACACAAATTAAACAAATGAGATCAGATCAGGTATCTTTTGGCTAAGAAATTTAAGTGACATAAGGTGTTTAGATGAGATACTGTTCAATGCTAATTATTGTTGTCTGGTCACAAAACTTTAATTTCTTGATTTAATTAATGGATGTGTCACCAATTCAATTGAAACTCAATAATTTAAGAATGATTTAATCTAACAACAAGCTTAACAATAGAAACAAAAACATTTTGAAGCACATTACCATGAACTCATACCAGTGAATTGGGTCTTACTTAACACTTGAATAATTAAACAATTGAAATACTTAACACTTGAACAATTAATGGTCCAGTAAAAACAAATAAAAAAGCATGACAGTGGCAACAGTAAAATAAAAAAAGAAAAAGTTCAAGAAGAAAAGCAAAGTCCAAAAATAAGTATTCCGTGTCAATCAGTAAATCCATTGATAGCAAATAAATGAACCCCAAAGTCTTGGGTGAAGAACAAGGACTAATAGTTCATAAAATATGAGAACTAGGAAATTTATAAATTTTATATACTAAAATGCATATCAAAATTACACATTAATTAATCGAGTCCATCCCAGAATTCACCAAAGTTAGTATAACAGTACCAAAGGTTTAAATTTGTCGGTTAAACAAGAATTTGTTCCTGATTGCCCTGGTGGCTGGTTCTGAGTCGTCCTTCACCAAAGTTGTTGCAGAACACAAATCATATCTCAACCATTATTTAGCTTGTACTCTTTTTCGAAGTACATAAAATGCCATGACCTCAGATAGTTTTTTGACTAGTTACCTCCACTACTTACCTATTTCTAATTCTCATTTTTTAACTAGTCAAAAGCTATCTAAGATCATGGCAATTTCTGTACTTGAAAAAAGAGTACAAGCTAAACAATGGCTGACATATGCTTTGTGTTCTGCAACAACTTTTGCTCTAAAGTTATCGCATTCTATAATTAATCTTGTATATTCCTTTTTTTCCATCAAATTCTAATTCCAAGAATTGTTGCAACAATTGCTCCAACCGTAGTCGAATAGCTATTAATTCTGTTTGAAGTGTATTTATCATGTTAGGAACCGTGTCAAAAAACAAATCCCCCTTCACATGTCCCAACCAATCTCTAAACAACCTTTCAACGTAACCAATTCTTTTTGCCTTTTCATTTACACTTTCTGAGCCATTCTTATATTCCACGCCATTTTTTTTCTTTATATCTTCCAATTGATATTTTTTCAAATCCTTTGCTTGGTCCAAGGATGCATCAACGTTGCATTTCAAACATCCCTCTTCGGGGTGGTGCTATCATAACACTTGTGGTGGTACATTCATGGGATTGATGTGTCTCTTTGCCGGACGAAAATCCTTTTGTTCTGGTGGCAGTACATAGATCATACATCTCGCCATCACATCACATAATTCAACTCTTTCGGCACATGAGATGCTGTTCATCCACTTACACCAGCCATCAGTTAATACAAGCCTTTTCTCACGTTCAATTATCACCCTATTGTTCTCAGTCACCGTCGGTCTAAGTTTCAAAAGTTAGGGAGCATACTTCATCAAGAGTCTATCTTGCTCCTCGTTTGTCTGTAGAATGCAAATACAAATTATACAAATGATCTAACAAACACAAATTAAACAAATGAGATCAGATCAGGTATCCTTTGGCTGAGAAATTTATGTGACATAAGGTGTTTAGATGGGATACTGTTCAATGCTAATTATTGTTGTCTGGTCACAAAACTTTAATTTCTTGATTTAATTAATGGATGTGTCACCAATTCAATTGAAACTCAATAATTTAAGAATGATTTAATCTAACAACAAGTTTAACAATAGAAACAAAAACATTTTGTAGCACATTACCATGAACTCATACCAGTGAATTGGGTCTTACATAACACTTGAATAATTAAACAATTGAAATACTTAACACTTGAACAATTAATGGTGCAGTAAAAACAAATAAAAAAGCATGACAGTGGCAACAGTAAAATAAGAAAAGAAAAAGTTCAAGAAGAAAAGCAAAATCCAAAAATAAGTATTCCGTGTCAATCAGTAAATCCATTGATAGCAAATGAATGAACCTCAAAGTCTTGGGTGAAGAACAAGGACTAATAGTTCATAGAATAGGAGAACTAGGAAATTTATAAATTTTACATATCAAAATGCATATCAAAATTATACATTAATTAATCGAGTCCATCCCAAAATTCACCAAAGTTATTATAACCGTACCAAAGGTTTAAATTTGTCGGTTAAACACGAATTTGTTCGTGATTGCCCTGCTGGCTGGTTCTGAGTCGTCCTTCACCAAAGTTGTTGCAGAACACAAATCATATCTCAACCATTATTTAGCTTGTACTCTTTTTCGAAGTACATAAAATGCCATGACCTCAGAGAGTTTTTTGACTAGTTACCTCCACTACTTACCTATTTCACATTCCCTTTTTTTAACTAGTCAAAAGCTATCTAAGATCATGGCAATTTCTGTACTTGAAAAAAGAGTACAAGCTAAACAATGGCTGAGATATGCTTTGTGTTCTGCACCAACTTTTGCTCTAAAGTTATCGCATTCTATAATTAATCTTGTATATTCCTTTTTTTCCATCAAAATCTAATTCCGAGAATTGTTGCAAGAATTGCTCCAACCGTAGTCGAATAGCTATTAATTCTGTTTGAAGTGTATTTATCATGTTAGGAACCGTGTCAAAAAACAAATTCCCCTTCACATGTCCCAACCAATCTCTAAACAACCTTTCAACGTAACCAATTCTTTTTGCCTTTTCATTTACTCTTTCTGAGCCATTCTTATATTCCACGCCATTTTCTTTCTTTATATCTTCCAATTGATATTTTTTCAAATCCTTTGCTTGGTCAAAGGATGCATCAACGTTGCATTTCAAACATCTCTCTTCGGGGTGGTGCCACCATAACACTTGTGGTGGTACATTAAAGGGATTGATGTGTCTCTTTGCCAGAAGAAAATCCTTTTGTTCTTGTGGCAGTACATAGATCATACATCTCGCCATCACATCACATAATTCAACTCTTTCAGCACATGAGATGCTGTTCATCCACTTACACCAGCCATCAGTTAATACAAGCCTTTTCTCACATTCAATTATCACCCTATTGTTCCCAGTCACCGTCGGTTTAAGTTTCAAAAGTTAGGGAGCATACTTCATCATGAGTCTTTCTTGCTCCTCGTTTGTCTGTAGAATTCAAATACAAATTAAACAAATGATCTAACAAACACAAATTAAACAAATTAGATCAGATCAGGTATCTTTTGGCTAAGAAATTTATGTGAAATAAGGTGTTGAGATGAGATACTGTTCAATGTTAATTATTGTTGTCTGGTCACAAAACTTTAATTTCTTGATTTAAGTAATGGATGTGTCACCAATTCAATTGAAACTTAATAATTTAAGAATGATTTAATCTAACAACAAGTTTAACAATAGAAACAAAAACATTTTGAAGCACATTGCCATGAACTCATACCAGTGAATTGTGTCTTACATAACACTTGAATAATTAAACAATTGAAATACTTAACACTTGAACAATTAATGGTGCAGTAAAAACAAATAAAAAAGCATGATAGTGGCAACAGTAAAATAAAAAAAGAAAAAGTTCAAGAAGAAAAGCAAAATCCAAAAATAAGTATTCCGTATCAATCCGTAAATCCATTGATAGCAAATAAATGAACGCCAAAGTCTTGAGTGAAGAACAAGGACTAATAGTTCATAAAATATTAGAACAAGGAAATTTATAAATTTTAAATACTAAAATGCATATCAAAATTACACATTAATTAATCGAGTCCATCCCAGAATTCACCAAAGTTAGTATAACAGTACCAAAGGTTTAAATTTGTCGGTTAAACAAGAATTTGTTCCTGATTGCCCTGGTGGCTGGTTCTGAGTCGTCCTTCACCAAAGTTGTTGCAGAACACAAATCATATCTCAACCATTATTTAG